ACCATAAACGAACAATAACCCAAATAGTCGAACTTTTTCACATATGGTTTGGGCCCATGCATTAATTATGTCACGCCAAATCGAGCAAAAAATTTCCCAACCCCCCTATCGTGACGTTTTTCCTATACCTAATGCATTGCTTGTCACAAAATCTTTAATTGGGGCTTCATGTATAAGTGCGTGGTTTAAAGTGTCAGGGCCTATCGATGCCAACCGGTCAATATGGTCAATCTCAACCAGTCCTGATTGCTGTTCTCGAAATGTGCCTCCTCCGGTGTCCGCTTCGTTTGGCAGATTTAAAGATGGTACCCAATCAACATGATCCTTCTCCTTGAGTTTTCTGGTTTTCCGGTTACAAAGAAAGGACTGCAAACTCTGTGATGTTTTGCTGGAGCTTCTCGTAATTTGCAGACTTTCGACCATCTCACCATTATCATCTGAGCGAGAGGGTGTAGTTTCAAATCCGTTCCTCTTGTATACGTTGGGATCTTGAATAGCTTGTAGCCACAGAGTACACAACACAATTATCAACAGCACAATTTATATCCATCTTCAATAAATAACCAACTGAATAAATTCAGCCTCTTTAATCTTACCGTGCTGCTCGCACGTATACTCGTACGAGAAACGTCAACAAGCAGTAAGATGTGTACATAATTGAGTAGGTGGAGCTAGTGAAGAAAAGGAGAATATATTACCAGGTTTTTATGGAATATCAATATCGGCAGCCACGTCGGTTTGTCGGTGTTTCTATTGGATTCGCCTATTGGAAATGTTAGATTGGATCAGATTTTGGCAGTTCATTTGGCTCAAAACATTCTTTTCGCCCATCTCTCGCTCTGAGTATTTCTAATAACAACTATAGACTTCTCTGACGTTTGTGAATTGTACAAGTGTTAGTTCAAAACTTTGGGTAGATTCTAATGCACTAATACTTATAATTTACCCAAAGTTCTGGACTAATACTTGTGTATTTCACAAACGTCAGAGAAGTCTATAGTTGTTATTAGAAATACTCAGAGCGAGAGATGGGCGAAAAGAATGTTTTGAGCCAAATGAACTGCCAAAATCTGATCCAATCTAACATTTCCAATAGGCGAATCCAATAGAAACTAAGCGATTGTTTCAGCCTCTTGCGGAGAATAGGGAGGGGAACCCTCAAAAGAGTGATGAGGGTGGAAATTTTCACCGTGAAGGATAGGAAGAGGAACATATTGCGCATTTCACACCAAATTGAACTAATAAGCGCGTTTTTCCCTCCCCTTGGCTAGTTTTTAACCTGGACGTTGGTGGGCGGGCCTAATCTTATGCTTCATAGTGGAGCGTTGGAGACGGTTGGTTTAGGTCCGGCATCGTTGGCTCATGTCGTGACAGAATAGCGTCATGAGCATGCGATGAGGATTACTGAGCTTCCCCTCTCTGATGAACCATTGCATAAGAGAACCAAAGTTCTAGCCTGAAGTGATAGTATCACCACAGACAAACAGACATAACACTCGCAAGTTGTTCATCGAACAAGCATTTAACGGACAATTTAAAAGCATCGTAGTTGGTAGTACCGCCACTAGTGGCGCGCATAGTCAATCCCCTTGCGTCTGACGTTTAAACACTACCGCCATCTGTTCAGCGTAGTGCCCACCACAGTGTACTCAACAGATGGCGGTAATGTTTTAACGACGATGTTTTACAGTGAGAAATACTCAATGTGTTATGTCTGTTTGTCTGTGGTATCACACTTGTTACTCCTTTATTTGAAAACCGCGTTGTAGTACGCTTACGTATAGGCACTGACGTTGGGTGCGATACTGGTGGGTTTTGCCGCAAATCACTCTTATTTTATTTATTTTTACGCAGATAGATTTATTTGGGTTTGCAAGGGAATTACTATTGAAATATTTCAGAAAGTGCCCAACGGTGCTCCTTCTATTTGCGTGACAAGCTTTCATTGTTGTTTTCATTGAAGCATTACTCAGGGAACAATGTTAAACACCACCATGGTATTGTAACTAATCTTATATATGCTTCATTTTGGTCCACTGTGGCGTGCTTCTATTGTGGCATATCCATACGTAATTTTGTGGGACGATATAGTGGAAACGTGTGAGCATAGTTGAAGCGTATACCTTATATAATTTAAAAATCAGCTAGGAAACTAATTTCAAAGTGAAGCATTTTAGTCACTTGAAGGTGTCACCTGGGTCGATCTAAGATATAATAAATATAGATCAAAGTCAAAGTCAAAATTACTTGAAACACGTTAAATTTTAGATTACATAGCAGTTTAGGTACTTAATAAAGCCTCCCTAATAAAGATAAATAATAATAATAATATTTAATAAAGCATGAGTTATGATTGATTAGGTAAATTAGAGATTTATTAAATTAGACTAATGAGATATCATAATCATCAAACGAACTTAAATAAGAAAATTTAGACAGCCTAATAACATTAAGCAGATTAACAAAAGAGTTAGGATGCGGGGGGTTCGCTTAGGGAGGCAACTAGCCTTTTCATATATTGTCTATTTATTTTGATGGTTGCTTTAAAATATCAATTTGGTATATATGTGAAAGGATGAATCAGTGGGAGATGGTTTTTCGGTTTCATTACATTTTGCAACACAAATCTAGTACTATGTGTCATTTCCTTAAAACCCCCCAATAACCGGCCTCTTCAATCCCTTCCTTTTCCCATGGCGTTCAAGTGGTCCGCATAGACTATTCAGCCATTACCCTTCCTTTATCCTCGGCTTTGGATTGACTTACGCTCCCATTGCCCCACCAAACGCTGCAAAATGAAAATTGAACTAATAAGCGCGTTTTCACTTATTAAAAAGTGTGATAAAATTGCAAGTTTACGACTAATCGTCTTGGTGTCTTCAGTGCACTTATTCCTTATGAAGCAAGCAATAAGCACTCCCAAGACATCAACACGATTTGACGGAAATGTGCACTTCTATCACACTTTTTGCATTTTTGGGACAGTCCAGTTTCAGATGCTATCAGCAATATTTTCACCTTTCCTGATTAATGTATCCACCGCAGGTGCTTGAAATCATCATCCACGTAGAATATTTCGTTTTCTGTATCGGGTTTGCAGTGATCCGGCCATATATTTTAGATGAGAAAAATAAAGGTTTTAAAATTTTTTCCAGCGATTATGATCTTCCAGGTTTTTAATGTGTTGTTATTTCAGCTGTAAATAAGTTCAGATCTGTAGATGATCGAAAGATTGATGAATCTACACGAAACTGCACCAGTGCATGCGACACCTAGGTTTGAAATCCAAAACCACAAAAGTGATGATGTACTAAAAAATATTCCATACGATTTGACAGCTAGCAAAACGTCATTATCAGTTTCCCATCATTTCCATCTGCTGGCCGACCGTAACGTAGATTCATCAATAAGACCACTCCCGATGGAAATTTGCAAGTTTTGCGATAAAATTAACATTTTTTGAGTTTTGGAAATCGTCATTATGATGTAAACAAATGGATTGGATGACATTGCCTCTCAAAATCGACTAGCGCACTCTACATTGATCGATTCATTGATGGTGCATGAAAAGAGCCTATAGAATTTGTTCGAGGATTTCTTATACCATTGACAGACATACAAAGCAGTACCGTTGTACTCCTTTAATCGAGTACCTCAAAAGGTACAATTTGAGGTACTAGCTTAAAGAAATACAACGGTAGTACAACCATAGAGGTAACTCTAAGACCACTGGGTCCCGAAGAAAATCATTATTATTTTTGGCTCACTCAGTACCAGAACAACGGTCCCAAGCAGTCCCAAGCTATTTCACTCACCCCTGCATGTTCTGCATGAATCCACACACCCCTGATGTTATCCGTCAAACTTTCATAGCGAATCAAAACAAACATGGTGTAGTAATAGAATTTCAACTAGAATAGGGTACGTTAATCGTTTGCTTGGGACCAATAGGCTACTAAAGTGGTGAGCCAATTTAAAATCGTTAGTTTCGTATTGATTGTTGGTACAACAGTGTACTTTGTATGTCTGTACAAGGTATTATTCTTACTAGATTGTATTTGAGAGTATTGCAATCGAACAGAAATTCAATCACCTTTATGTTTCGTGTGCTTCTCAAATTCAACTAGTCTTTGAAATCAAAAACAATATTCCAACTCTATTGATAAAATAAAATATTGCGATGCAATCAATTATTATTTTGCACGTAAATCGAATCAAAAATAAAAGTCATGTGAAATGCTGGCTTCTAGCAAGGGTTGCAAGATAATTTAGGTACAAATCCCTGCTGCCGAATTGACCACTTTGTCAAGCAGTTTTGGCGTGACTTTCTACCAGCGATTTCACAAAACTGGACCAACTAATTTCTATTTTTTATTTTTTATGAAACGCACAAATGTTGGCTACTTTTCTCGTGGCTCTAGCAGAAAAACTCTCAAAATAATAATGTTTTATTTCAAAGTTCGAGTGGTAGTGAACGTCATTTTAAATGCTCGAATTGCTTTCTCCGCCTATCTCTCCCTCTGAGTATTACTAGTTATCACGTAATATAGGCTGTCTTACACTGAGCGCTCATGTGTCAAATTTTCACCACAAATCATAGGTATGACTTGTGATATCAAGATAGCTTATATCACGTGCTATCAACTATAGTTTGAACGTACTATAAGCATAGAGGTGTGTGGTATAAGTGTGAGTGCAAGAATTCAGTAAATTATAAGTATAAGTGCGAGAAAGCCGTGTACATATACGATCGCACATCACTTATACTTCTAAAATACCCAAAGTTCTGCACTAATACATGGGTATTCGGAGAAGTCTTTTTAAGTATGTGGAGTTTTATGCGATTGTTAATTTTTTTTTTATCAATAATTAGGTATTCTTTATTAAATTTTAGGAATGTGTACCTTATAGCGTGTTTAAAACAATCGCTAATGAAACATCAGCCGTCAATTAAAAAAACAGTTGTACTTATCAATAAAATTATCAAATAATGTCAACACCTAATTAATTTACTATATTACAGATTAAATTTGAAACCCAACAATTCTACGATCGACTGGGTATGTGCAAATGCGGAAAGCTTACCATTTGCTGATAATTCATACACTGCCTATACCATCGCATTCGGAATCCGCAATGTTACGCATATAGATAAGGTATAAACTGAATGGATTTTCGTGGGCTTGTGCATTTTTTTTAACAAACTTTCTTCCTTTATTCTTTTGCAGGTGTTATCCGAAGCTTACCGTGTGCTGAAACCTGGTGGACGCTTTCTGTGTCTTGAGTTCAGCCATGTTTCCAATGACTATTTGAGATGGTAGTTTTTTATTTTTATTTGTTGGCCAATTGAACTGAGGGTCTGTCCATAAACTACGAGATCTGGTTTTGAGAGATTTTAGTTTTCCCTCCCACTGTGTGGGATTCGTTCATCGGTTTATAAAAAAATACCGGAAACCTTCGCTAAATAAACCTCTACTTACCTCTAAAATATCTGCATAGTCTGTGGAGAGCCCCTGATCGCATTTTGTCGTTTGCTTTTATTAAGAAGGTATATTATAATGTTTTTATCTTTACCAGGATATATGACCAGTACTCATTCCAAGTAATTCCTCCCATGGGACAGATTCTTACAAGTCAATGGCAACCATATCAGTACTTGGTGGAAAGCATACGAAAGTTTCCCAAACAGACGGAATTCAAAGCAATGATTCAGGATGCAGGCTTCAAATGTGTTGAGTACGAGGATCTCACGTTCGGTGTTTGTGCAATACATTCGGGATTTAAGCTATAATTTTTTTCTGTTTTTAATTATTCTAAAATTGATAACTTATTAAACATAAAGTTAAAAACAACGAACATGCAAATAAAATTGTGTCCATCATTGGCCAAAGACAACTATCAAAGTAGATTTATTATTTTTGCTTTAAGCTAAGGTAAAAGCATTAGTACAGTCCAAACATTACTGTAGCTGATAAAACAATCATTGGCATTGGTAGATCTTTTCATAAAATCAACGTTTTGATTGGTACATGCTTTAAGATTTTAAAAAGCAATAATTATACATCCCATTTTTGATTGCCTTAAACCTGCAAAATATTGCATATATCTTTTGCAAAACTAAACCACAGACAAACAGACATAAATTGAATATTTCTAACTGTAAAACATTACCGCCATCTGTTGAGTATACTGGGGTGGGCACTACACTGAACAGATGGCGGTAGTGTGTAAACGTCAAACGCAAGGGAATTGACTATGCGCCCCACAGGTGGCGGTACTACCAACTACGATACTTTTAAATTGACCGTTACATGCTTTTTCGATGAACAACTTGTGAGTGTTGTCTGTTTGTCTGTGACTAAACGTTCAACAGTCCTTCTAGCAACATATTATAGCTATTATAGGCTGACCATAAAAAACGTGACGCAGCGTTCAATGCTCTCTACTAGAAATTCTCAGAGGGGTTCTACTCTTATGGGGTGTTTACACTTATGCTATTTCACTAGCGCGAATGAGCTAGCTGCTAGCAAAAAAGGTCACTAGCATAATGTAAACAGGGCATTAGCGTCTACTAGCATGAAATTTCAGGAGCAACTGAAATTCGTGCTAGTTGGCGAGTACAGTAGCGCGAGTAAATCCGCACAGATGTAAACACCCCATTAACAAAGCAATATTACACTGTACTTTTAATTCACGCTGCGGTTAGCGGTTTGGGACATTGTTATTCTTTCGGCAGGCTCAAGAAGCTTTTAAAATTATATGGAAATTTGCTCACATTATTTTATAATTATTACGAAAATAAACACAATAATAAGGGTCTAATTGATCGATTCTTTTCGTCGATTTTCACTTGTGTTAATAACTCGCTTGGATTAACTTTTCCAATACAACCTGTTACAGCACTGAATTGGATAAATTTAAGATTTTTTTTCGCTTAGCTGTAGCAATTAAAATGGAAAATCGATGAAGACAGTGAGCATGCATAAGGGTGATCTGGTCCAACAGCAAACGCATCGAGAGACGTTAATCTAAGCGATTTAATAACAAAATAGAAAATCGACGAAGAGAATCGATCATCCCGTTTACGCCCTTATGCATGCTCACTGTCGAATTCTTCTTTCCTTTATTTAACGTCGGTCTCTGTTCCGCAATCTAGTGCCTATCACCGACGGACATCGATTGCCATCCATTGACGGCAATCGAGATGGCAGCTTCCACACCTGCGTAGGATATCGCACCCTCAGCACACATGGGCCGGGACCAACGGCTTTCCAGAGATTTGTATGTCTCAGAAAAATCCCACCGACCTCGGCTGGGATTGAACCCAGACCCATTGGGGTGAAAAGGCAGTCACGCTAACCACTACACCACCGGCGCCGGCTAACACGGTCCAAATTCTTCATCAACATTTCAAAAGGGCGATAGGGCGTTTGAAAACATGAGCTTTAATCGTTTATTTCTCGCAAATAAAAGCTCACACATGTAAACCAGAGGGGGGCGACTCTATCTACGATGCAGGGAAGATTGTGTTTTGCTGTGGCTAGCTGAGTAAGTAGAATAAAGATTGATGACGATTCTGAAGATTTCCTGCAAAAAGATGATGCGCGATGCGAGAAATGAGTGAAGATTTTTCGAAGATTGATTCGCTAGTATTAGATTTTTTGAGCACCTAGAATTGAGATTTAGATGTGTCGCCCCCCTCGTGTACACCATAAAGGAATCCCGACCAACCATTTCGTTAATTTTTTTTAATTTTCTATATATCGTTAGATCGACATTCATAAGAAAAATCGATAGCGATCGTCACCATTTCATGAATAATTGTAAAGATGCTAAAAGTCTAATCGTTAATCGTTTATAAAGATCTTTCTCAAAATATTGCTACCAATCGTTACCAATGTTAAAATATCGATTGTGTTGCCAGATCAAAATATCGATTTCTATTGTAAAATCAAAATATCGATACACAACTGCCGATTTTATTTGTAATTTTTATCTGCATAGTTTCTAGTTTCGATCCAATGCCATCTGGGGTGTACTGATTTCGTTGTTGGTTGCTAATCCTCGGGTCCACGGCTGCTGTTGATGAGCTTATCAACGACAGGCGAACACACTCCAGTATGTGGTTTATTGAAATTTCTGTAAATCTTTTCATACATGAATTCAATATATATTTGTCATAACCATCAACCAGTCAGCCATGTTGGTTGTAATAGAGGTCAAAAAGATATCAATTTTCCTCATTGGGTTCAAATGCCGAGAATCCCACCACGCATGCTATCACGCGTTATTAAATATATAGACGTAAACTTGAAGAACTACAATGGTAAACATTTGCTGCGTCGCGGCCATCGGTCTTCTCGTTCATTTACCGGCAGATTGCTTCTTCCGATGAAATGCCGAATATGTCGATAAATAATATAAACATTGCCATCTGTCACCTGGTGTGTCTCGAACTCTCTTTAACCAGCGATGCAAATTGATAACAAGGAGATTCTAAATGTGCATCGATGGCAATCTTTGTTGTTTTTTGTCAAAGTTCAAAGTTACGATGATATCAGTATTTAAATATTTATTGATGAATATTTGTAAAGAATACTACAGTCCATGTGACATATCGAAATTAAAAGAAATTTAGTATGGCACCTTTATAGATTACTATCATATGACCGATGAACAAATAATCTTAAATGTAAGTATCGATCAATAAAGATTTTTAAATCTGTACATCGAAATCATAGAAAATTTAAAGTAAAGAATTGCCGACATAAATCTTTATTTCTGTATAAAGATCTTTGAAAAAGTTTCACGAACGGTTGGTCGCTAGGTTGGTCGGGATGTTTCCTTCCTACACTGAAAAAAGTTTTCACTTAGTTTCTATTAGGAACGCACATAGTATTTTTCCAAAAACAAAAACAATGATTTTTACCTGAATATCACCTAGCATTAGAAATTCTATATGAGAAATCATATAGATTTCATTGGACACATAACGTTCATGTGATTTAGTGGTGCAATTTCCAATTATGGGATCAGATGAAAGTTATGTGAAATTCACACGAATATTTTCCACTGGTTATGTGATTTATTTTATGAGTGTAATGAAATGTACACTGAAACAAAGATAATAGTTAGGAATACTATTTTGCAGAAAACACTTATTTTCAGTATAACTACGCTTAATACCGTTAAATCTACCATGATTTCAGTATAGTTGACTATAAATATAATGAAATTTACTACCATTCTGTCAAAACTACTATGCTGACTCAAACGGTATAGTAGTTTTGATAGAAAAATTAGTCAAATTAAATGAATTTCGTTTCTGCACAAATCTATTGGTGGGAGTATTTAATTTAAACCATCAATATAGTATTTTTGCCAATGGATTTTGTTTCTGTGTAGGTATAGGTACACTCAAAAAATTTATCACATATCTAATGGATGAAAACCATGTGAATTTCACATAGCTTTCATGTGATCACATAGCTACACATCTCACCACAAAATCACATGAATATTATGAGGCCGATGAAATTCATATGAAAAATCATATAAAATTAAAGTGATCGCATAAATGTTATGTGAAATTCAGATGAATTCCATTAATTTTGTTTATGGATGAAAATCATTTGCAATTCCAATGGAAGCTACATGAAAACTATTTTCGGTGTAGGTATCAAATTAAAAATAAAATAAAATTTAACGTACACTCAAAAAAAAAATATCACATATCTAATGGATGAAATCCATGTTAATTTCACATAGCTTTTCTGTGATCCCATAGCAGCAAATCCCACCACAAAATCACATGAATATTATAAGGCCGATGAAATTAATTTGAAAAATCACATAAATTTAATGGGATCGCATAAATGTTATGTGAAATTCAGATGAATTCCATTAATTTTGATTATGGATGAAAATCATGTGCATTTCCAATGGAAGCTACATGCAAACTTTTTTCGGTGTATAATTCAATTTATAGCGGCGCCGGTAGTGCAGTAGTAAGCGTGATTACCTCTCACCCCAGCAGGCCTGGGTTCAATCCTAGTCGGTGCCGCCGGGATGTTCTGACTCTGAGGCATAACATCTCTGCACGGAGAACAAATTATAGCAGACGCAATTATTTTTCCGGTCAAAATAACTATATTGTTCAATTGTTTTAGAGATAACCCGAAACTATAGTTGATTTGACTATATATAGAGGGCAACAACTATAGTCCATAGTTGGCTCCTCGGTTGGCTCAACTATATTTTTCAGTAGATGAACAAACTTCAATCTTTAAAATACAACTATGCTTTAGTTGATTCAAGAAAACTATTGTTAGAAAAGCACAATTTTACAATGTTTATTAAACGAACTGCTCTTCATTATCGACATATTAAGGAAGTTTGTTTTGCTTCTTTATAGATCTCAAAAACACAACTGCAAATACATAAAAAAAAGTGAACAAGAACATTCAACTTAGATTTGAACCGTGTTCATCTGCGTGAGAACCAGCTATCTTATCGCCTGCTCTACGCATCACAAGTTAAAAGTATGTGGTTTTATGATGATCACTTTTTTTTTTCCCTTTGGTTTGTTTTCCGTCGATCTTGTTTTCCGTGCTGAGCACCAATGCTACCGACGCCAGGAAGGCAGCTCCCACACCTGGACCCTACCTATCGACCCATCAACTCATGACCCGGGGACCAACGGCTTTACTTCCCATCCGAAGGAAGGCGTGATCAGAGATGTTATGCCTCAGAACATCCCGGCGGCGCCGATTGGGATTGAACCAAGGCCTGCTGGGGTGAGAGGTAATCACGCTTACCACTACACCACCGGCGCCGTTATGATGATCACTTAAAACCAAATTATATAAATAAATTACATTT